TCAAGCAATGCATTGACTAATCGCTCGGAGACAGGCTCAGACCGGGCCTTTAGTTCGTTCAGATCGTCAAGAACATCACTTATTTTAACATTGAGTTTTTCTTCAATATTTCTAATTTTCGTGTCTGCTAGACTAAATCCAGCTTCTACTGCTTTCGTTAAGTGCACTAAGGATGGGTCATCATTTATATTAGTTTCAGTGGGCAAGGTAAAATTAGCCGCATGGACGCCTTCGCCATTGCTGCTGGTCGACAAAAACTCATTCTCGCAGCCGTTCATAGCTACGACCGACGTGACACATGCGTTAGCTTTAAGATATTTTGATAAATACTCATCTGTGTTGTCCTTTTCGATTACCAACTTTTTTGACTTTTGCCATTTAAGAACAAATTCAGAATCTTGGCCAGCTATGAAACGCTTAGCACCTCCTCCCGGTGACATTTACAGCCAGGGTGCGAGGGAAAGCCGAGACGTTTGCCTTTACAGCAGAATGTGAGTGTGGTAAGGGCGTCGACTACACAGATAATGTCATCCGTGACGATCTTTTAAATCACCTATCAGACCCAGACATTCGCCGTGAAATCCTGGGGACGCCCGACATCCTCAAAAAACCAGTCAATGATGTGATTGCCCTTGTTGAAAACGAGGAGATGGCCCGCAATGCCCTCCCATCATCAACCCTGTCTGCTGTGTTGTCGTTTCAGCGCCAAAAGAACCCGACGACAACCACCGCCACCTCCCCGTCCCAAGTGGATCAAACGAAGGAGGGAACATGCCCAGACTGCAAGCACACCTTTAAAGTCGGGCATTACCATGCATGGAGGGGCCATCTATCGAGATGCACGTCGACGCGACCGCCACTCCAAAGGCTTGCCATACACCAGCCAACATACCCCTACACTGGCAGCAGCAAGTGCATGACGTCCTCCTTGGAGACGACGCCCTTGGTGTCATTGAGCGTGTGCCTTATGGCGAACCCGTGACATGGTGCCATCGGATGTTTGTAACACGGAAGCACGATGGTTCTCCACGTCGCACGGTCGATTTCTCGCCACTAAATAAGTTTTGCAAGCGAGAAACGTTTGCCATGGAGTGACCCTCCCACCTCGCACGTCTCATCCCCAAAGAGACGTGGAAAACAGTCACGGACGCCTGGAATGGCTACCGCAGCGTCTCCCTTCGAGAATTAGATCGTCATCTTACCAACTTCATCACGCCATTTAGCCGTTGGCGCTACCTGAAAGCACCCCAGAGTTTCCTATCATCAGGGGATGGATACAATCGGCGTTTTTATGCCGTCCTGTCGGCCTTTGTGCGTAGGAACGCTGCGTCGACGACACAATCCACTACGACACTGATTTGGAGCAACATTGGTGGAGGACCATTGACTTGCTCAAACGTGTTGGACAAGCCGGCATAATGATAAACCCCGATAAGTTCCAATTTGCACAACGGAGCGTAGACTTTGCCGGTTTCAGAGTGTCATCCTCAACCATCGAACCACTCCCGAAATACCTCGATGCTATCAGAGACTTCCCCTCCCCCACCTCCACCACAGATATCCGGAGCTGGTTCGGTCTTGTCAACCAGGTCACCAACTACGCACAGCTACGCGACGTAATGGCCCCCTTTAAACCTTTGGTCAGTCCTCGCTGCAAATTCCACTGGTCGCCCGAGTTAGAGGACGCTTTTACAACATCGAAAGAAGCCATCGTAGAAGCCATCCGCAAGGGGGTGCAGATCTTTGATATACATAAGCAAACCTGTCTCCGCCCAGACTGGTCAAGACGAGGTATTGGTTACTTCTTGCTCCAGCAGCACTGCAGCTGCCCTTCTGGTATACCAGAATGCTGCCCTGGAGGATGGCACATCACCTTGGCCGGCTCACGGTTCCTCTCTTCAGCCGAGGAACGCTACGCCGCGATTGAAGGGGAAGCACTTGCTGTGGCATGGGGTCTTGAACAGACACGCTACTTTACACAAGAGGTGCGACAACCTTGTCGTAATCACGGACCACAGACCACTTGTGAAGATCTTTGGTGACCGCACGCTGGACGAGATATCCAACTCGCGATTGTTCCAGCTTAAAAACGCACCCTCCAGTGGCGTTTCGTCATCAAGCACTTACCTGGGAAGACCAACCTCGCTGCTGACGCAACGTCAAGACACCCCTCGCCATCAGGCTCAGTGAACACTGCTTCACTCGTATTGTCCAGTTGCCCAGACTTCGTCGAAGCGGCGCTAATGGCCTCCATCCGACACGATGCTCAAGAGCTTGGTACAATCTCATGGCCTCCTGTCGCACAAAAACCGCGGCGGACACATACCTGAGCCATCTACTCAAGCTGATAGAGCAGGGAACACAGAGTTTTGACAGAAACGACCAATACTCTCCAGCTTCTGGCCCATCTGTGAATCTACATACGCACAAGAGGGTGTCCTGCTGTACCAAGACCGCGTTGTGGTCCCCTCGTCCCGTCGCCGCCGCGTTATACAGCATCTGCACGCAGCCCACCAACGAGTGACAGCCATGGAACAACGTGCACGCGCTATAGTCTACTGGCCAGGGATGTCAAAGGACATTCGCGAAACCAGAGAAAGATGTGCAGACTGCAACCGAAATGCTCTTTCACAGGCTGCTAGACCACCTCTCCCCACTCCACCACCGTCAACCCCCTTTGAAGCAATATTCTCTGATTTCTTTGACTATGGAGGACGCCATTAATTAGTGGTAGGCGACCTCCTGCTGGGCTGGGTAGAGGTGGTGAACTCAACAGCAGGTACCAACCTCGGAGGGATCGGTGGACCTCGTTCAACATCTCCGCTCGTTCTTTGCAACGTTTGGGGGTACTAGAGGAGCTCTCAAGCGACGGTGGCCCAGAGTTTATGGCAAGCCATACTGAGGACTTCCTTCGCCTATGGGGCGTCAAGCACCGTGTTTCCTCCGTCGCCTTCCCTCAATCCAACGGTAGACCCGAGGTTGCAGTGAAAACAGCCAAGCGCCTTCTAATGTCTAACACATGGCCAACCGGCAGCCTGGACTATGATCGGTTCCTGAGAGCCATGTTGCAATTGCTCAATACCCCTGATCCAGATTGCAACCTTTCACCAGCACAAATAATTTTCGGCCTCCCCTTACGGGACACACTGTCTTTTGTTAACCGACTGGAAAAGTTTTGAAACCCAAACGTTTGCCCCCTTTGGCGTCAGGCATTGACAGCAAGGGAGGAAGCCCTCCGAACACGGATTGCCCGCAACACTGAATCTCTGAGAGCCCATTCAAGACCACTCCGCCCATTGACCATCGGGGAGAGAGTATTCCTCCAGATCCAGAAAGGCGCCAGTCCGACCAAATGGAACCGATCAGGAACAGTTTTTGAAGCACCAGGTCACAACCAATATAGGATAAAAGTGGATGGTTCCGGACGACTCACACTGCGCAACCGTCGTTTCCTCCGTGCCTATACCCCAGCGACTCCAACGAATGTTGACGCCAACGAATCTCACATCAGCCGAAGGAAACCTTGATCAAAGTCATGTTTCAATATCAAGCGCGGGTAAAATCATAAGAGCGAAGCTTCCGAAACTTAGACTACGGAATTTCGGCGGAAAGATTTGTGAATGGCCAGAGTTTTGGTATGGATTCTCGAGCTCGATAGACAACAATGACCAATTGTCGGATGTTGACAAGTTCACCTATCTGCGGGGATATTTGGAAGGGTCAGCAAAGTCTACCATCGCTGGTCTCTCGTTGACTAGAGCGAACTGCAAGTACGCGGTGGAATTATTAAAGAAACGGCTCGAAAAGAAAAGCGCAGTACAACGGGCGCAACGGCGGTTTATAAAGAAGAGATACACTAAGATTGTGGAAGTTGTATAACAGCTGCAAAGCGAACAACCGCGCATTGAAAGCCCTGGGAGTGAACGATGACTCGTATTCAGCCATTGTTGTTCCAACAATCATGGAAAAGTTGCCAGAACAGTTTCGTTTGACCATCACGCGAGGGCAGAACTTTCTAGAATGGTTGATAGAAGAAATGTTAGACGCCTTTGAGAAGGAACTCAGACTTCGCGAAGCGCACAATGCAGTGGGAACGAAATCGGATCTAGAGCAGGAAAGACACGAGCGAAATTCGGGTATAAGGAAATATGGCCAACATCATCATGGAACTGCAGCTGCATTGTTAGCAAACGAAAGGAGAGGAAACTGTGCCTTCTGTTTGAAGAACCACAATCACGAAGACTGCGAGGGAATGACAGATCCGAAGTCACGAAAGAGTTTGGCTCGTAAATACGGTAAATGTTTTCTTTGTTTATTTAGGGGCCATAGATCCAGTAAATGTACTGTTAAAAATATGTGTAATGTGTGCAATGGGGCACCTCATGTTGCATTATGTGATGCAAGGCCTAAAAAGACGATAAACGTGATAAAACAGTCCAACCTGACGAAGAATCTAAACAGGTCCCTGTTAATAATAATGTGCATGAGATTAGTTCCAGTAGTAACTTGCATGTGTGAACTGGTAGCCTGGTTGCCTTGCAAACTACACGCGGGGTTTTAAGGGGTGAAAGGGTGGCTAAGGTGCGGGTTCTCTTTGATGCGGGAAGTCATCGTTCCTGTGTGAATTCTAAAACAGCTGGTCTTGTGAATCCCAAGGGCTTAAGAAGGGAATTGTTAGGGATTAATACGTTCGGTCAAAAATAAACCAATGCCGAGAACAGGGAGGTGGTCGAATTAAATCATGAACCTGTTAACGGGAATAAGGTTATCTGCTTAGAATCATTTGTAGTGCCAGAAATCTGTAGAATACAGACAATACAGAATAGCCATGTACAACTAGCAAGGAGAGAATACCCACATTTGAAAGGTAGATGGTCTTCAGATGTCTCGAAGTGCCAGGGTGAGCTAGAGATAGATGCGTTGATAGGGACAGATTACCTCTGGAATTTTCAGACAGGTGTAACTAAGAGAGGTAAATCAGGAGAGTTAGTTGCCATAGAAACTGAGTTAGGATGGGTTTTATCAGGGCCTCATCCTCGGTCCCAGGGCCTCACGGCCGACACTGCGTTGCCGGAGGCCCTGGCGAAAACGAAACGAGAAGTAATTTGATTGGTCGCATGAAAACAATGGAATGCGGAAATTGAACACGAACTTTTACTAATAAATATTGCTGACTATAGGAGTACACAGGAGTGTAATAACTCTTCAAAGAAGACGAAGAGTCGTTTTGGTCGTTGAAATCTGCTGTCTATCAATGGAAATTTTATTTTTAATATAAAAAATGTTGGATGTTGTGTCACAATGTATTAAAAAGCTGCACAAAATTGGACATTGGATTGAAATCGCCGAAGCCGAAGCGAAGGGACATTTTATAGTTTATACGAGATTTAATTATATACAAGTTTAAACAAAGGCAGACGAAAGGCTATGTGAGAAAGACTAGCTTTACCGTTAATTGTACAAATCTACAAAAATTGTGAGTGACGTCTTGAATCTTTCAATTACAAATGAGAAAATCCTGATCGTGAATGAGTGTCTGTGTGGTTGTTCAATGCAAGAGGGGTCCATGCCATGCTTATATTATATATATAGCTTAATTTATAGGCTATCAATGTTTTTTTACAGTTGACAAATTATATTGTTAATAGTAATACTGCAACTTTGCTACACTGGTGATGAGCCTCCTAATTTTATGCTGTATACATACATTCAGTATTAAGTAATGTGTCAACATCTGGGAAACTAACTTCTGAATCTCTTACATGCAGTTGACATAATTTTTATAAATTATAGTGCTAGATTTCAAGGTTTAATTAGTCACCATGGGCACAGGAGGAACGTTTTGAAATTTAAAATTGAGGAGCACTTTATATCGACAGCACCAAATTTATAATTTGTAAACTTTTGAAGAGAAATTGGGCAAGGCAGAGCAAGGATCAGGTATGGGGGTGGGGGGCTATAGCTCCCCTATGTGGAAATTCTAGCCCCTCCCCAATCAGGGAAGTGGAATGTACTGGGAAAAATTATGTTTTATAATGACCTTGTTTTGTAGTCCTGGTAAATGCACTGTTACAGACAATAAATTCTACACCATTTCATTTCAAGTTGAACATACAAAACAATAACTTTACTGTTTGAAAGATTATAGTCCCCTGTTGGGAACCTGATATTCCTTGTCGGGGAACCTAATATTCCTTGTCGGGGAACTCCTGGAGCATCCGGCCTCCACACACAAACACACTGGTACCCACACACCTCCATTTCCTACACCACTGCAATATTAAAGCACAACATGGATGCACCATAAAGCTGTTATTTATTTTTTACAGTATCTTTATTAACACACCAAATTTTCATAGAGGAAATTGTAAGAATAAATCATTATTTATATCAATGACACAAAATTGTTTATTTTGTTCATGTAATTTCTTTCTTTCTCTGAGTTGATGAAATTTCTTTCTTTCTCTGAGTCGATGCAACTTCTTTCTCTGAGTTGATGAAGAAACAAACTTCCCGACATACCAATCCTTTCATAGCAAGGCCTGAAATCCTTCCTAAAGTAGTAGTACAATGTTTATAAATTAAAACAATCTTTAGCCAAAAATTTTAGGCCAATCATAATTTAACAGCAACATTTTGATTTAAATGTTGAATTTTATGATTGAAAATGGCTGGCAAGAAAATACATATTTCAAGTCATATATATGTATTAAACTGTACAATATGATACTAGCTTGTAGTATGCAGTCACATATGATACCTTACAGGTAGTTGTATATCCTACAAACAATCGTTATCTGGGGATACCAAGATTAAGGTGGGGTGAGGGGGTGGGGGGGTTGAGGGGGTAGGTGGGATGCACATAATATTTCAGGTTTTTATGCTCATTGTCTCTGTCTAAATGCCGCATTTTACATGTGCCAAATCTAATGTGAATTTACATGGTTTGACTCAAATAATAAAGTTTGACTCAAATAATAAAGTTTGACATTTTGATTTAAATGTTGAATTTATGTACATACCGGTACGTAGTAAACATATGTAACTTATACATTTGTCCAAACTTCCAAAGTGGCAAAGTAATTACTTTGCAATTATACCCACTCTCCCCTTGATGAGCAAAATTGTCTGACATTAGACAGTAAGATAGTAAAGTACAATAGATAATTTGATTAACCCATTGAGCAGTAGCACTCTTACATTGACCAGTACACTCAATCATCTGGCATGTTAAGCTGAGTAAAATAATTTGGTAGCACTTAAAAGGTTGAACAAACTTTTCTAGACTTGGCACATGTAAAATGCAGCGTTTAGACCAGACGTATTAAACAGAATATATGTTATCTGTATGTACATGTACAGTCTTGCAGATAATATAGCAAAGAAAGAATATTGAGAAACAACCAAATATATCAGTATCACTCACTCACCATTCAGTAACAAGATTGGGCTTCGTCCACAACTATCGCTTTTAAATTGTCTGTATATTTCGTCGATTATAATAAAAATTCAAAAACTTTCATGTTCTCCAATTGATTGCTGTCCGTATTCAATGACACTCCCAAACTACACATTGTATCCTTCGATTGATGACTTGAACAGCTTTCATAATTGAAACATTTACATGATCCTTTAGTTTACTGATTTGGTCAATCATTAAAACATTTAATGGTGAAATAACCAGATCAAATTAATGTTTATCTTGCATGAAAAACATTATTTCTTTCGAGAAATTCTCAAAGTTCACTCCTTGCAAAAAAAGATGCAGAGTCAGCATTTTATTACGTTTACTTCCGGCAAACTACAAGACTTTTGAAGTTCCGGTTTTGGTTTTCGCCAGGGCCTCCGGCAACGCAGTGTCAGCCGTGAGGCCCTGGGACCGAGGATGGCTTTGGCGTGCATTTTTGTCAAGCGTGCATTACTTCATGGTATGAACCAGCCTGCCATCCAGCTGACTAAAATGTAAGACAGCCATCTGAAAATTTGGATTGTCACTTGAAAATTGACGAAAAAACATCTAAATAATCCAAGGATCGATCCGGCATGATCTGGTACGGGGCTTCTTTGCCAGCTATGGTGCAGAGTTGTGTCGGTCATGTATGCTGCTCGCTCATCAACATACTCCAGGGCTTTCAACATAGGCCGGTGGCTGCCGGAGCTCCGACAGGTAATAGAGAGTTTTAGATTGACGTTTACGGCAAACGTCAAACCGCTAACGAAGATTTTGATTTTACAAGTCTATTATAGCAGCTTTTACACCAGTTTTTAAATA